TATTGTTGTTACGAAGGCACTCATACATTAGGAAGTTGACACGAGTGACTCACAACAAATGACAACAATATTCTGATGTTGCATGAATCTGTTTAAAAACATTTAAAACGCTTTGTGTTGTATATCTTTGAACTTAATAACAGTCCTATTTTTTCAAATGTAGTCGGGTAAACAAATTTACGATTTTCTTTTTGTGAGTTACTTCAAGGTTTGTTTCCCATTCTGTATTCCCATTGTGTCTCGTTCCTTGACGCGGCCCTAAGGGATCGAATTTTCAGTAAAAGTCGGTTTAAACCAGGTTTTAACCAAGGTTGGGTGGTCTAAGGTGGTTCAAAAAAGCTGCAAAAGCGATCGCGAAAATCGATCCGTAGAAGGATGCATATTTATAGCAATGACCGCGAGCGTCATGAAATCATATTAATCAGAATGATGCAAATCAATCAATAAATGCCAAGAGAAATCAATAGTGAAAAAAATTTAATTATTACTACAAATTCAGAGTAACAAAAGAAATCATTTTTTAAAACTATTAAAAGGARCTGACTAATACGTCCCTGGATTAAAATTAAGTCAATGCAAAATCCGTTGAAGATTATTGAATGAGGTGGGGTAGTTTTCCTTTATAAATCAATTTTCAATTTTCCAATTCAAGCAACCACTTGTGACTTAGTTCGGAATACTCCTCAAAGCAGGAAAAAAAATCTTCGGAAGAGCTGGCTATTTATATCCCYTTAGATTGAAGTCATTGAATTAACAATGAATAAAACATTTTCCGTGTGTACATCAGTTTGCCAAGTWACACGAGTGAGCAATGAAAACTGTACGGCGGGACGAAACTCTTCAAAGCAGTTACAGKGTGATTTTATAAAACAAATGTTGCGATTATAAATAAAATTCATTGTTCAAATCTCGAACAGTTGAAAATAATTAAATAGTTGAAAATAATTAAATAGGCCGCTTTTGCTAATTCATACGAATAAAGATTATTTATTTAATTTTTTTTGCAAAAAGTCCTTGAGACTTGAGACTGCATGCTTTTAACAACGATATTTAAAATTTCAGACTACTTTAACCTACAATGAAAACTTTGTCAGAACACAGACCTTCTTGAATGCTAAATTTGTACAGTCTCGATACAGTCTGTTTTAAATCTGTTTATAAACTCAGCTCGTGTCCCTCAAAGTGTTCTCTTCAATGTGGGATGATTCGACTAGAATGCGCATGATCAGCTTGTCGTACTGAATCATCTCCAAGAAATCTTTGAACGCTTGAGTTTTAATCTAAGACATCGAGATCATTCTTCCGACATATAAGAATGTTTTTTTTATAGTGTTAACGATGAGGTTTTATCACAGGTATAACAGGTGCAGCAGTCCTTTATGGTCTAATACCAAGTGAATTTAGAGGACAATTTGGYGTGAATATTCCATCTACTAAACTCGACCTGGGACAAGCGTTAGGCATAGAAACATTGCTGACTTTTCTTCTGGTGTTCACCATTCATTCTGTGACTGATAACACTCGACCTTCCTCTGGTTACATGGCTCCAGTTATTATTGGTGTATGTGTGTTTATATGTCACATGGTTGGGGTAAGTAGCACAGGGATACCGTCCACCAGAACAATTAACTCTAGATTGGAAAGTTTATATTTAGCCTGTATGGCGCGAGCTTACCCCACCCTATCCCATCCTATCATGAAATCCCGCCAAACCATACTGCACGCCATCTAGAGGAACGATATACTGTTATTTGCAAACAATTGCAATTTATCTAATCAGTTCTATAACACACCCGTTAGAAATTGATAATAGAGAGTTTTAGCATCATGTTGACGGCAAACGGCTAACGGCAAAGCTGAACCAATGACCTAAGAATTTCGTGCCTGACCTTTTGCTTTTGGTAGTCATTTGAAAGAGCGGCTTTTCACGATTATGGCAACCTCAAAATAACCCGCTCTCGCGTTGAAACTGCAACGTTTAACTCAAAGCAGGTCACGTGATCTTTTCTGCCGTTTGGCGTTTACCGTTGAACGTTATGCTAAACCTCTCTAATATAAAACGCACAGCAAGGATTAGATATCAGAATAACCAGAAAATCCCGTTCTACAACCTAAAACTTGAAACGAAACTAGACRTGTCTGCTCGGTTTCATCGGTATTTCGTAGCTTTATATTATGCTTTATAACTATAGATATGCATTCGGCCAAATGAATCGATTGAAACTAACGATCTAACAATTTAATAATCCAGATTCCATGGACTGGGTGTAGCATGAATCCAGCGCGATCACTTGGACCAGCGGCCATCACTAATACTTGGACACATCATTGGGTAAGATCACTATTGCTTCAGAAGTTTTGTTGTTATATGATGAAGGCTGCCATAAATCTATAATAGCACAATCTAGCGCAAAAGTTGCTACATAAAAATTGGCCAATTTTGCTTATCTATACAGGCAAATATTAATTGGCAMATTTAAATTATTGCTCGTGTAGAAGAATTTTTAGACCTAGCTAATAGCGTTGTGTATATCAGTCCACTCCATAGTTTTTTGTGTATGGATTCTAAAATGATGGTTGGATGAAATGATTTGGTACTGGATTCGTTTGTCTGGAAAGCGTTTGATAGCACAAGATCATCTCGCACAATACTTACAGTCAATTCTCTCTTTAATGCAGATATACTGGGTTGGTCCAGTCCTTGGCGCTCTGCCTGCTGGGCTCTGCTACGAGTTTGTTTTTGCTGCGAAAAAGAACAGAGTCCTTCCCGACGAATCAGTTCGCCAAAATGAGGAACTTTGACTTAACGCAATCTTTGCATTGCAAACAACACAGACTTATATAAAAATGCGAGCTCATGTATATATAAGTGTAACATATATTTATTGACAAAAATAACTTTACTGACGTGGTTGAGCTGACATAACAAAAAATCAATCAACAGAAACAAAGTGAACAAACGAAGAGAAAAAAAAAAAGAGAAAAGAAAAAACTGAAGAACTGAGAAAAGGAAACCAAACTTGATGTAAAGACTTGACTTTCGAGTGTTTTGGCAAATCCTCTTGAGATTTATAAGTTTACAGGCAAAACACTTACACAAAATATTTATTTTAATTTATTTGATTAACGTCCATGAATCTAAGAAGGTATATATCAATGACTATCACTATCGTAATAATGATATAATATTGATTTACACAATCAGAATCGCAATCTTGCRCAGATATATAAAACTAGTTAGAGGATGACGTTTGATCTTAACAGAAGAGATTAGAATACATTCTATAAGTATACGTATAGAAAGTGATTTCATACAATAGAACTTGCTATCTGTGGCCCTGAATATATACGCGGTACCGATACTTCAAGCAACTTTAGGAGGAGTCGACGGGTTCCTGGGAAAGATATATCTGTTCTTATGTCCCAGCCAGCTGTAAGTCACAACTGGTTGCCAGCGAGAATTTTTTCCGCTAAAATAAAAATTTCCTAACTAAAAAAATATAAGCCGTTTTTGACCATAACTAAAAACTTATMTAAGCCTTCAGTATTCACCTGAAAAACGTTAACCAGGAACAAAATTATTTTAAAGAACGAAGGGAGCCACATTTGCTTGTGAGATTGTCAACAGTGTAGCTCAAAATCCYTTAACCACTGGAAAAAATCGCGCGCTTTAAAGGTTGTAAATTTGATGGAAGTGTCCGAAATTCTGTAAATTTCATGGAAATCATTTACATCAAAATATACAACATTTAAAGCGCGCGATTTTTCCAGTGACCCAGGAAAAAAAATTTGTACAAGAACAGTTATTTAGAAGAACAGACCCCAGTTGGCTCCTCCTGCAACTTCACTATCCACATCTGCTTCCCGTAAGTAAGAGCTACAAAAGTCAATCAAGTTCACTTTTCCAAATCTGCAAGAATTGCGGCGCGTTTATGCCAAGCGTGCTGAATATGTTTCGGTATCAATATTTTATAGGCTATGTGAACCAGAAGTACATATGTACTTGATGTGAACCAATAAAACCGCAAGCTAAAGTTCGATGTGGAAAAGCGACAGGAGTTTTTTCGGTAGCAATCGAGTAATGACATTTCTCCGTATTGAACGCATTTTTATCAAATAGATTATTGGGTTAAACAAAGAATTCAAAAACATTAAAATATTTGTTATACACTGGAAAATAAATAGTACAAGGACTTTTTTCCCGTTTCCTGATATTTCGATCACAATGTATGGAAYATAACACACGATAAACARCATGTAAACCCAAAGCATGTTCCTGGAAGTTTTCCTTCTCTGAGCCATGTTGGTATTGTCAATGTTCTGGTTCACCTGTACTTGCTGCTGTTGTCGTTSAATGTCTACGCGATGTCGTCGGAGGATTTTGAGTATCATAGTGTTATTAATACTAGACACTATTAAACATACGCTTAAATTCGTGGCGAAGAGATATAACAATGGATWKGCATCATCGATCCAAAKGTATGACAATGCTATGAGAAAGTTGGCCAACCACAACAGCACAAGAGTACCCAGTGCCCTGGAAATGGTAACAATACAAGCGTAGCGCAAGTGAAACTGAAGAGCGATAACTCTGTCAATGGTGATCARAGTTAATGTTATAAGCGACATGGCACTAAAAAAGCCAGAAACTATTAAGCCAATTTCCTTGRTGCTACAAAAGATGTCTACATCCTTTTGAAAGATAGCARCTGACATGACGAGAAACATAGGCAAWGTWACAACTCCTGTTCCAAGATCAGTGAGAGCYAAGCCACAAAGAAGTACATTGCTTGGTGTATGYAACGAYGGAGTCCTGTAAAYTCCAACAAGAACCAGAGCGTTCAGAAAGACAGTGGGAGGAATTGCCAATGAGATCACTACGATTCCTGCAATAAACAACTCGTTTATGTTTAGGCTCACAATTTCCGAAAATTCTCTTAATCGCCAATCGGTGGAGGATAAAGTTAAGTTTTGCGGGTAAAATACACTACTGGAGTTCATCGCTGATGTCTTAGTACTTCAGTGCTCCAAACCACGTTTAGGAGCGTATTGCAGAAAACAACAGCAAAAATAAGTGTTTCAGCTTTATAAAGATTATAGCAGCTGATCATAACAAAGGTTGCCACTCGAAATATTTCTATACCTTATCTTCTATAAGTATTGTCACATTCGCTTAGTAAGTGTTCCGTCTGACAAA